CCCCCCCCCGCTTTAACCTCTTCGCTACGGCCCTGGCGGTGCAAGGGCATATGCCGCTTCTGCCATATGGTTAATCGGGCATTCAGTGGCAGAGGCGTGATCCTGTAGAGTATCAGATGGCGTGATGGCATTCAACTTGAGCAAGAAATTAGACATTATTTTGTTGAGCAAAACATGAAACAACGTCTCTGCCGCCAAACACAAGACTACTACATACAATGACTACAAAACCCTTTTCTCGCTCGAATAATTCATTACATGCAGCGCAGGTTAATTAATTAACCACAATCTCAGCTACATGATGTCACGATACTTGCAAGTACTTAGTCAATCACCTAAATGCAGCTTTGAAGCCTTACCAAGTCAACAACAGACTTACCGAGTCAACAACATTAGCTATACTGATAGCTCTGAGTTTAGTTTGACCAATATCACCTCGGTAACGTTGAAACTGTAAAAAGATTAAAACACATCATTATTGCATTCCTTTTCTTTTAAGAGATAACGAGCACAGAATTAGAGTATTAATGATTTGCTTCATGTATCTTATATGCATGAAGATAACTTTCCTATTAATAAAACATTTGCAAAAGCGAAATACTTACCTGACTGTTATCATTCACTAAGATCAGTTCGACATATTTAATTTCTGTCAGGACATCACGACGAGACTGGAAAAAAACGTGAAATTTTTTTATCATGATGCGTCTTTCAAAAATTCTTCTATTGGATACCTCTACCAGACAGTTCTAACTGTTCTATACTGTTCTCCTTTGAGGCAATGGCATTCCTTATTGATCCTGTGTTATTTTTGGTTACTACAGAAGGAAAGCAAGTTATTTATATTGGATATAGCTGAACCAGTTCTAAAGCTATTTATATTGGATATAGCTCTACGGCCTCTACCAATTCTGTGAGTCAACCACAGGAAACAAACGAACTACTGGGAGAAAACCATGTAAAGTCAAATTGGTAATGGATATGCTCCTCGTACAAGCGACTGAGGTTAAATTATAGCCACACAAAACTGGAATTCAGATGTTCTTACTCTATGATGTTCATCTAGAGGAAATCGGTTCAGAAAATCGTAGCCACTTTCGTTCGTTTGGATGCCATCATGAGCTGAAAATAAATATCAAATTATTTTAAAGCAATAATATCATATTCAGATATCATAGTTGCATTGACAACAGAGGCGGTTAGCGCGCTACCCCTTACCTTTGATTAAGCCTGCTTACTGATGATCCATGATAGGGACTTACTTAGTTTGGGTATAACTTCATTGTCCTTAAAAAACTCATGCATGTAAGTAGAATTTAGTTTGTTCTCTCCCGTGCTTCGAGAGTTTTTCTCCGGATCCTCCAGTTTTCCTCCATCACTAAACACTAATCATTAGGAGGGTCTGAATGGGGTTACCTGACTACTGACATTTGCCTGAATTTTTGACTGACAACTGACAAAATATCCTAACTGACAACTGAGAAATGATGAAAAATGATGAGTCAGCATTTTGCAGTAACTGACTACTGACAGCTTGCAATATGTCGCACTGACAACTGGCTTAAATTTTAGCTGACAACTGACATCCAAAAACCCCCATTAAGACCCTCCATTAGGCATCATCGCACCCTCCGCGGCGACCATGCATGGTCGTTTGTGTTGTAAGACCTGCTTAGGCTTTCTCTCCATTTTAGAGTGATAAATATAAGTAATGAAATCAATATATATATCTTTGAACTTACGACATTGAAATTTCTCTCCTGTAATATCACTGGGACTATAGACGACGTGAGCCACCCTCTGAAAAAATACAAATCATAAATCATTTTCCACGCCAACGTAATTATAGTAAAAGTGAATTGCCACATTCTATTAAAAATTTGATATCGTGCATTATTAGGTCTGTTTCACACGTCGTGCTTCTCATGTGCCGAACGCATTAGAAACAATAGATATAATGAGGCATTTCAGCTGATTATCCACATGAGAAGCGCGACGTTTGAAACAGGCCTTAACTAACTTATATCTTTAAAATTTGTGAGTTCACGGCAACCAGGCATAATGTCAGTCATGTTTTCGCTCGCTACTCTGGGTTATAAATTCATATCTCGCTGTTTATGAATGTTGAGCCCTTTCCTTACCCTGACTCTATATAACCCTAACCGCTGACCCTCATGAACTTAAAGTAATTGTACACGGCAAAAAAACGCCGAGCCCGCTGCTCAACAGGATTGAACAATGTTTTGCTGCCCCTTGTCAACAATATTGAACAATATTGTTGAGCCTGAATCGGGTGTAACGATGTTGTTCAATATTATTGACAGCTATGAACAGTGTGGGCAGCAAAACATTGTTCAATCCTGTTTTCATCAGTATATTGCATGCGTGTAATATTAAGGTTGCCTTAAAACCTTATTTGACTTTAGGACATATTTTCGCAAAGCCGAAAGATCCTGTTCAAACAAATCAGAAAATCATGTTGTATTTTCTATAAAATACCAGTTTGGCACACGGCTAAAAGAACATCGAAAGGCTGTTTAACTTTAAATACAGGGAAATTAGCAGAGCCTGTGTGTAACACTAAACACATATGATTACATGGGAAAACTCTAGAGTCATTATCACTGACAATCGCTACGGTCAAAGACATGCTTTGAATAGAGATGCCGATGCTTATCTGCCACAAGAATACCTCCATCTTGTTGTATTGGCAGATGACGTCATCCCATGGGTATATATATTAGAAGCCACTTTGCGACTGCAGATCACCCCTGATGAAGACATTTAGACACTAGACTGGAGTGTCGAAACGTTGGGTCGTCAATGCAATTCGACTGGGCTTTGCATTCATCTACTAAAACCAGAGTAGCGAGTGAAAACATTACTAACTTATTGTTATGGTGTACTTAATATGTAGTTATATTAACGAGCGGTGATTTAAACGGTCAGACGATCACCGAACACAGCTTTAGTTACGGACAATGATGTTTATTTTCTTTGACTTTGCTGTTGTTTATGTGTGTAAATAATCGTGTTATTTTATTCAGTATTCATTTTGTAGACATACGGTTAAATATTCTGTGAGATTAAAATAAACTATAAATATCGAACTATAAACGAAGCGTGCAATCACACTTATACCTTCCGATCCTGGTCAAACAATGGTTGAATAAAGAAAGTCTCGTCATGTCTTCTGATATAACCACTAAGAAAAAGGAAACACAAATAAGAAATTCTTCTTCTTACATGATCAGGACGATTAGGGAGAACATTTAGAACTGATTTTTTTCTGTGTTGGTGTTGTGTACTCAGGTGAATATGATATTTGTGATGTTACTCTGAGTGTATATCCACACCGGGCGAGCTTGAAAAATATGCCCGGCCACGGTGGGAATCGAACCTACGACCTTTGGAATACTAGCCCAATGCTCTGCCAACTGAGCTACGCGGTCAGGACGGTTCGAGTAAGTGATATTTCGGAACAGAATCTAGTTCCTTCGATTTAAAAATCAACTTACTGAAAACCTTCACATGTGGTGAGAGCAAGATTCGATTGCTCTTCGCTCCTAACGTGACCGTGGAAAAAACAGTCGTGTGTTCGCTATAAAAAGAAAAAATAAAGGCCAAGGAGTTTATAGTCTTACCTAATTCACTCAGGAAAATTTACAATTTTTTAGCAAACCTCTCTCAAAGCAGTGTTTCCATCAGGAAGGTAATACCTCTCCTTATATCGGGGTGACACCAAGTTTCTGACAAAGATCAGAAAACATTTTCAATTCAATACAAACGAATATATTATGACCTGGCTAATACTGTATGTAAAAGATGAAAATGTATAGTTTAGGAATTTATAAAGCATTTTAGTAGTTTGCTAAAGAAATAGAATGTAATACCTGTTTGGAACAAGATCAAGGACTAACTTCTTCCCATTATGTAGGAAAGATATACTTCTCTCAACTGTCTCACCCTGTAACATCAAAAACATGTTTTTCCTACTTGTTTTGTTTTTTTTGCATTGTTCTGTAACCAGATCGCCATGCAATCATACAAAGAACTAAGAAATATATACCAAGAAATATTGATGACAAAAACCAAATTAAGAAGCTGCAGCAAAATTATTTACCTGGCTATAAAAATCTGGGAATTCATTGGCAGTAGGTGTTGTATCTTCAGGATGGACAATTTCATATTTCTTTAATTTGTTCAGCAGTTCCTTGTCTTTGATATTTAGTTCATCGTACAGGATATCAGGTATTTGTTTCGTTTGCACATCATCTGAGAAAATCAAGAAATATAGATTCTTTTCTCGACTATACAAAAGTCGCGTTGGTGTTGGTGTGGTACGTGTGTGTTGGTGGCCATGTGCTTCCTGTATATACTCTGTGACTAAGGTTCGATTCCCGCAATATTCAGTACTTTGATTATAAGCCCATTCAGAGGCTCAACTACGCATTTAAAAACGTACGGGAAAATTGCAGTTGAACTATAAGGGACCGGTCATTAATAGTGGGGGGCGGTGAGTGAGAAAAGGGGGGTGGCTTCAAATCTTTTCCCCTGAATTGGGGGCGGCCTCAAACTGAAAAATATGTAACAAGGGGAACCCAATTTTTAAATATTTTCCTCCTCATTTTCAATCTCTCGACCTTGTCGAATCCTACAAAATATTTCACCTTCTTTAGTTCCGTAGTAAATAATCGTAGTTTCCATAGTTTATTACGTATATGCAGTTCACCATAGGAGTCGGAGTAAATAACAACCATTTTCAATATTGGTCCTCTAATTATTTACGCCACATGCACAATGTCTTACAACAGTACTTGCCCCATTACGTATTTTAAACCAAAAATGTAACGGATTAATTGTGGGGGGGGGGGTCCTAAACTTTCTAGATGAAGGTGGGGGCGTCTTGAAAATAAAGGCTCTAAAAAATGTTCAATATTTGGTATTTATCACCCACCGCCCCCACTCCCATTATTAATGACCGGTCCCCAACATGTCACTAAGACTGGACTTAATTATGATCCTGAAAACTCTCGAACATTGAAGAGCTAGTATATGTCTGAAATGTAATTGTATTCGTAGCCTGTTACGTCCAATATCGTGTTGCTGTTGAACTGTAAATAAGATCACACCTGTAATGTATGTATGTGTAATATAATTTTCTGTTGGGCCCGCAGTAATTGGCTATTCGCTGTTGCGGTCAGCCAGCCATGGTCATATATGTATTGTATTTCATTATGTACGTTTGTTTTTGTCATGTTACAGTATGTATTAATAATGTACTGTTTCATCGGCAAAGTTTATAAATTAAATTAAATTAAGGCAAAATATACTCTGCGAACCCAGAAAGTTACTTTCCGAGTTTCCGAGCAAAGAACGGGTTGTGTTTTCATGTCACGCAATCACGAAACCTCACGCAATCACGAAACCTCACCTCCTAACGAATCATATTTCGTGACTGCGTGACATGAAAATGTAACCAAAGGGCAAAAAAAGAGTGAGCGTGGGAAATGACGTCTGGGTTCGCAGACTAGGCAAAATATGACTATAAGTGAAACACAAATAATGATCAAACTGCTGAATACTTTAACATGCACATTCTTCCAGTCTCAGCTACATGTTGTGATTCAATTGCAATTTATCCCGACGTGCGTCATTTGGATGCGCACTCTTATAGTTTCTCTTCCGTTGAGTGCAAGAATTAAGAGTGTTTCCAGTTACCTCTGCAAGTCACTAGCAAATACCTCAGGTTTTCTCCTGGTATTCCTATTTTCTCCTGTGGTAACCTTAGGGATGGCCCTTACTGTATGTCTGGGGAGAACAGTTTAGAACTGATCAGGGCCTCCCGGAGGGGGGAAAAGAGGGCAATTTGCCCCGGGGCCCCCAAGGGGGCCCCAAAATTTGCGAAACTGGGGGGGCCACAAAAGGTGTAATTAAAAAAATATTTGGAACGTTTTTTATATAAATAATGGTAGGAGAAAAATTTTTAGACCTTAATTCTGCTGGTATATATATTGGTCCGAAAAAATGTGTTTTACCCGTGTTTATACAGGCATTTGTCCTTAATATATAACTGGTGTTTGTCCGGAAAAGATTTTTTGAAATTTTGGAAACGGTCTCAAGGGTTTTGAGTCCAAGATTGTAGCAGATAACTGAGTTATGTGTAGGTTGCGTGATTTCCATCATTTATTTAGTCGTAAGCTATTTGTCAATCAGAAGACACGTAGTGACTTCAATGTACAGGGTGAGTAAAAAAAACTGACACCTTTGTTATTCAAATTAACCGCGAAGGTATCAGTTTTTTTACTCACCCTATATAATAACTAAAGTTCATTAATTAAGTTACCTCCTGTAATAACAATGGACTATATACTCTGCAGTATGACAATCAATCTCAACATGAGCTCCACCTTTGAATTTACTCTATGAGTAAATTGTTAAACACGTCCGAATTTATCAATATGATAAATTCGCGGCACATTTTGAAATTATCAATAGAATAAATAGTAAAAGCACAAGCATTAGACAAGAGCTTTTTTTATAAATGTAATCCATATCGCACTAAAAGGGAGGCTGGTCGCGCCGGGCTGGGGAGCTTTCGTAGCCTGCGAATTAAAGGAGAGCCTGCTCGCAGGTTATATATGGCGTGTCGCTATGTTGCTTTTCATTTACACCAATATACCATTTTTTAGATTCGAAAAATAAAAAATCAGTCTAAAAATAAGACCATTGACTTTGGTTGAAAAAAGCAACGCAACGGGTGGCCGTGACTTCCAGTCAACATGGCCAGAAATCTGAGACAGCATGGCCGCCGCGCACGCGCATCGTATCAAATTCGAGTAATAGAAAATTTGGCTGACATAAAATCCTACTAGTAAATAGTATAAGGTTTCTGTGCTCCTCAACTATGTTTACCGATTTAACGAAATGTATTAAGAAAATTAACGTCCCACAAATCTTAAACTACAGTTTATTTGGTATTCTTTCAAAAAAAATTATAATATTATTATACATGACTAGAGCAACATTGTTCCATTTTCGCGTTTGCATTGGACTATGAAATTAGAAACCCCCCATACTAGCTTCATCATTCATGCAAAATTATCGTAAACTTGATGCAAACACGCGCTTCTTGCGCTTTTACACAATAGTTTGCTTTCCCCCCACAAATCTGTATATGATGTTTACATGTTAGTCTTCATTTTGCACGCAAAATAAGTGCCTCATTTTGTGCTCTAACCTGTTCCAAATCGCTTTGAAAAACTGCACAATATCGACAGTGATCATAGCACGCGTTATGGCCATTGATTGAAATTCTACGACGAGAAACTTGCCAATTTCTTGTTCTATTTTGATTTTTCCGATCGTATAGTTCGCCATGTTATTTCAGGAATGTCTGTAGGGGTTTCCCCTAAGCTTTGACAGCGCCTGGCACCGCCTGGCACATGTAAACATGTCGCAATACATCATTTTTAAAGTAAAATGTCGTACAATTTGTCTAAAAATCGCTGGTCTTTTGAGGATAAAATCATGCTTAGTCAACCGGATTTACGGTATGCAGCTAAGAATAATGAAAGAAAGATAATTTGTTCGCTGGATATACCTTATCCCCTTTTGAAAGAGTGGCACGGCATTGTATACGGGTCTAAAGACTATTAATTTAAAGCCAAAATTCAAGCCAGACGCCGACGAGTCGACCAGATACCAACTCTGATCGCCCATCGCCATCGAGTTCTGGTCCAACTTCGACGTACGGCTAATCAAGGCAAGTCCGTGAATTTTGTCGATCTGTTAGAATATTGTGTCCCTGACAGATTTTTTTTTTTTATAAGGACCGAATATTAGTGAGAGATTATTAAATGAAACACTTTCAAAAATTGCTGGTGGTGTGACACAACTTTATAGGAAGAGCAGGGGAAGAGTTCGAATAGATTTGGATAAACGGGTCAGAAAATTGCATTTATTTGAAATTAAGAACGTTCAAGACGAGTTAAGGGAATGGAAAGGGAAATGCATGAATTTGGAAGGCGCAAGCCACCCACCATCTTTGTGAATATTAATTAGAAAGGCATGACGTATCTCAAAATCTTCGAGCCAGCAAGCAAAACTGCTGAATTTATGAAACCGCGTGCCAGACCGCTGACTGTCTCGGATTTCTAGCCATGATTCAATAAATGATGTCGTTGCGAAAGCCGGCACATATACATTACATGCCTAACACCTGTAAAACGGTTCAAAAGTAGTTTATCAAGGAAAATAGTTGCTTTGATATACTTTAGATCAACAAGTTTTAGTCCAACCTTTTAAAGAAATTTACTGTCGTTCCAATTGAAGTGTTGCTGAAATATTGATTCAATACATTACCTCGGGCTGACCAATTCATTTGATCAAGTTCCTCGAGATATTCATACACTTCCTAGTATAATTGTAAACTTCCTGTTGAATAGTTTGAATGCACCAATCACCTTTGCTGTTTGTGCAACTAACCAATCATAAATAGAAAGGAAGTGACCAGAAATGATCAAATACTTGGAATTGGCTCTTTCACAGGAAGTGTATGAATATTTCGAGGAACTTGATCAAATGAATTGGTCAGCCCGAGGTAATGTATTGAATCAATATTTCAGCAACACTTCAATTGGAACGACAGTAATAGTGGGTGCACAACGTATATACTAGGAAATACTTAAATATATTATTATTAAGGGGGGAAATAAAACTTACAATTTACTAAGCATGCGATATATCGATTCACAATGTTTCTTACCCAGTTGAAATGAATTCGAAAGCAGAAAGAGAATCAGGAAGACAAGCATCTAAAATAAAAGTATCCGATAATATTGATTTTATTTAAATGACTCCACTTTAGATATAATTGAATGTTTTGAACATTCAGTCATATACCAACATAAGCTTGCGCGAAGTAAATACCGGCAAAGACGAATTAGGAGGAATTAAACCATTTTCTGACAAGGGTTTAGTTGACAAAGACAGTTGCAGCTGCAGTGTGAAAGACATTAGCCTGCGAGCAGGCTCTCTCCAACTACATGAAATAACTACAAAGAAAACTTCGACATTTTGAGTGATTGGCTCTTCCGCCTCTTCGATAGACGCGGAAACGTTGACGGTTGCATTTGTTATACGGGGTCTGTTTAGCGGTACTGGGAGAATCGCGTAGTCTTTGTTACCTCGCAATTTAATCCTATGTCGTTGGTTGTTAATATTTTACAACAAAACTTAATAAACAGGGACCGCGGAGACGGGGGGGCTGGGGGGGCTTTAGCCCCCCCCCCCACTTTTTTTGACAGCCAAAATTATTAAAATAGAAATCTAAATGAAACTTTCTAAATTAATTAAACCTCACCCTTTAGCCCCCCCACTCTCTAATACGCTCCGCGGGCCCTGATAAAGTAATCGATCTTGATGCATATTTGGACTTTTGTTGGTAAATAATCGAAGATGAAATCTTGCCTATATGACACCAGTGGCGGAAATCTCGATGGGACAGGGGGCGACCGCCTCCCCCTCCCCCACCTTCACGAAAAATGGGCTAAAAGAGGGCTAAAAAAAGCATTTTCGGGTGCAAAGGGGGGAGTGGGTTCGTCGGAAATTCGAAAGTTTTGTCGGAAATTTAAGAGGCTCCCCCCCCCCCCCGGAGAAAGTGAATTTCCACCACTGTATGACATTATATCTGTCTAGATCCTTACAAGTTGCAAAAATGTGTTTTAAGATGATAGGCATAGGGCCGGCGCTAGGGGGTGGGTGGGTTGGGGGAGGGGCGGTGGAACACCCCCCAGTCATCAGGTAGTCGGCAAAATATTGAATCCCAATCGGCAAAACATGGATTTGGATAGGAAGGAAAAAAGTAAAACAGAAATTTACGAAAAAATTAGAAACCTCGCTAACTTAAGTAAGGACAGATGTATAACTTCAGTAAAAAAGTTGTCCCACGGTCGCCATCTTAATTCCTAGCAAGTGTCGCTCGCGTGACTGATTCGTCATTTGGTAATACGTCATTGCTTTCAAAAATGCTTTCAACACCTTTTCTGCAACTTTAAGTGCTTTAAACAACTTTAAACATTCAACAAATGATGGTCTTGATTGTTTAATCCATAGGTGGCATACCTGTAAAATAGCTGTATGTGGCCTGCCTCGTCCCTCATCGCTTCAGTTGGGAATAGAGATCAGTGGAAAAACAATGGGAGCGCGGGGCTTAATGGGAATGCGATAGAATCGTACGGATTAAGGCCCATTTCCACTCAAGAAAAATTTCCACGGACAGAAAATTTGCCGAAAATATCATTGTTAAAAGTTGAAATTTTTCAATTGTACAAAATTTTCTTTCCGCGGAAAATTCTCTTGAGTGGAAATGGGCCTTAATGGATGAGGGACTGTGGAAGAGTCAGGTATGTGGCTAAGTGTATAGTCCACGTTAGTAAATTTTTGAAATTTGAAATTTTGAATTTTTGAAAGCCGCAAAAACTGATGCAAAAGTTCGTGTTTTTCAGGACGCTATTTGGCATTTTATTATTATTAAAAAAAATCTCGATCTCCCCGCTAACTCGAACTAAATCTATTTTCCCCTTGTCTTCACCCAAATTTTACAGTAATTTACCCTGCCCTGGTTATCTCGAACTCGCTGAATTAACTCGAACTTCTCGCGGTCTAATTCCGAGCGAAATTAGGCTTTTCTCGATTGTGCTAGCATATTTTTTAGCATAATTTGGGTAAACAAGCATAATTTTGCATTATTTTAGAAAAAAGCACTGCTAGCATAATCTGCAGACAATTGCCAGACATGTCTAAGTTTCAGAGCAAAATGCTAAAGATGTGAAAATTTTTTTAGTTTTCTTTATACTTGTTCTTTAGAATTTTGTCCAAACACTTGCAGGAAGTGATTGTTTTAACAACACTACGCTGACTACTGTAGTTAGTAAGGTAATCACCTTAATATGAGACCCAGTCCACACTCCACATTTCCCCATTACTCAATATCCAAGATGGCGTCAGCCTCTCAGGAAAATATAAACTTACAGGTTGCACAAGGAAGGCAACAGGAAAATAGTGATAATAATAGTGCAAACAGGCCACCACCTGCAAAAATTGCTCGAGAGCGGTGGTCAGATTCAAACAAGAATAAATACAAGAGCCGGGGAGCTTCTGACGTGAAGAAAATTTGTTTACGAGATCGAGTAAATCAATTTCCAAATCAATTTCCAATTTCCAAATCTGGGCAACAGATTTTGTGGACGATGATAGAGCCATATGAATAGACTATTATGTTGAGTTCAGGAGAAAAGACTATTAAAAGTTACAAAATTTACTTTTTATAACAAAATACGTTGATTTTTCCACTTTTGTAGCATATTTTTGAATAGCATAATATAATAAAAAACAAGCATAATTTTTTAAAACTGGCATAATTCGAGCATAATTTAGACATTAAACCAGAACTGCTAGTAGCATATTATGCTACTTTTACTAGCACAATCGAGAAAAGCCTAAGCGAAATGCGAAAAATTTCGCGCGAAAAGGTTGAACGCATGCGCAACATGATTTTGGAGTGTTTCTCTGCGAAATGTTTCTCGTCGCCGGGTAGTTGAATTCGTTTCTATTCCGTTGCGAAATCAGTGGAAATAACGAAGTAAATCATTTAAATGCTTGTGTCTTGTGCAAAGCCAATCAAATGCTTGTATTTGTTTTGATGTCATTCAAAAATCGCGCGTTTTTTCTTTACTGTGGAAATCACTACGAGAGAAAATTTTCGCACAAGTGTGTTTTCGCGCGAAATTTTTTGCATTTCGCTCGTCGTGGAATTAGGCCTTAACTCGAACAAATTTCATTCTCCCTTGGTCAAATTTACCCAGTTAACTCGAACTGCATTTTTGAGATGTAGATTGGCGAGCCTCAAAATGTCAAAACACAGCACATTGACAAGTCAGAAGCTTGGATTTCTACTCAGACAACAACAATTTAATCTATTTATAATATATACATATGTAATACAAGTCCATAAAGAGACAATGGGTTCAACAAATTGCGTCGGTCGTTATGGATCTAGCTTAAATAAGTACTGTTCGTAGGTACTGTATTGTTATTAAACACTGTGATATAGGTATACTATTTAAGGGAAGCCTCACAACCTCTGAACCGCGCAAAGGCCCTGGGTACGAGGTTGAGCCTCACATCGTTTCTCTGAAGACCCGCCCCCACCCCACCCCCCTTAGAAACGTCACACATAGTTATCGATATTTTGTTCTTTAATAAAGTACACATATAATATTTTGTTCTTATAGTACACATATAATATAAGATATTTTGTTCTTATAGTATACATATGTATAAGACACCCCCACCCCTTAGCAACGTCACACATAGTTATCGATATTTTGTTCTTTTCTACGGTCGGCTATATATTAATTGGCGATGCTTCCTCGAGGAATATGTCATCTTCGGCTGACATATGATTTTTATATATGAACTTCAAAATTTCCAACATTTCTCAAAACAACATTTTTTGCATGAAATATTGACAATTTTAGCACGTTTTTCTTGAAATTTGAGTGTTTTCAATACAGGGAAGGCGTAATAATATAAATGTATAGAACAGGTAACTATGTAGACTTGCCACAAGTCGACCATGGGGAGGGAGGGCGCGGGGGAGGGAGCGCGCGACCCGAGCGACGAAGTCGCGAGTGGTCCACAGAGGAAGTGAAGCGCGCCATAGAAGGGCCTGGAAAGGACTTTGGAAAGTCTAGTAACTATGGTATTACGAATGTATAGACTGGTGTTTGTATGATTGTATCAAGTTGTTTTCCTTTTCGTATTCTGCAATTGCCAAAGATGATTCCGAAATGTTAAGGCTTTCAAAAGGCTATCGAATTTTTCCATGATGTTTTACAGAGAAACGTCACAGTTGCAACCTCCCCAAAACGAACATATGACGTTTCTCGTGGACAAAATCGATATGTGACTCATGTGAGATTCCTTAACTCAGGTAACGGTAGCAGTACAAACTTTGGAAGCTCTTTGTAGAGTGCACCGTAATGGTTCACAATTGTGATGAATAATAAAACGAATAAAACAACACCGAACCCGTGAACTCGAACCCCCGCTAACTCGAACAATATTTCACCTTGGGGTTCTACTGTATAATGGAAATGTTTATAAGGCTTTAAAGGTACTACAAAGATAGATTATGATATCATACACTACGTGAAATGAACGTATACCCTAACGAAAAATCATATAGATACAACATAAACATTAAGAAAACATACTTCGGTTATATCTTACCTTGTATGGTTCCCCTGCTATAAAACGTACGGCAATGTTTGAATGCCGATTCAATCTTGCATGTTTTCTTACGTATGACTAGTAGACTCTGCAATATGACAAAATGGAGAGACAATAGCAGCTTGAAATCAAATTGTTGTTGATTTTAATGCTATTCAAGGTTTACATGGCTCGTCATGGTGTACAACTGAAACAATACAGGGACAGGGTGTCTAAAAAAAGACAATCCAACTTTAGTATATGCCATTGTGCGTTAATTACTCGGTGTATGAACGTAATTTTTCATTATCATAAAGATCAGGCTTTTGGTTGTTGAATGACATGTTTCACCATTATAAACCAACTCTGAGCTCATTGTTAAAATGACACGTTCGTGGTTAATTGTTTTCCTTTTGTTATGCACTGCTTTAATTAGGCGCAGCGGTGTCGGTGAAAATATGCGATTTCGACAAACAATTCTTGTTGGACTCGTATTTGCTCAATTGTTCTCTACAGGGTGTCTCAAAAAAAAACAAAATCA